TATATATATATCCTCCTCCCTGAATACAGATGCCATTTAAAACCATGTCCCAGTGTTCTAAGTAAGTGGGTTCATTTCTGAAATAACTACCATTCAATGATTTGTTTTGGCATAGGGACTACCTGTTATAGTAATTGTTGCTTTATAATATGTTTCATTTTATGATTGGACTATTTTTTTCTTCACTTAAAATTTTCAATCTTCCCTTCTTATTTATTTTCCCATGTGAAATTTAACATCAGTTGTCTTATTCTCCCTTCCTCCAAATAAAAATTGGCTGTGTTTGCACACATCAGTCAGTAGTTCTGTCTATTTGGGAAGCTGAGTGAGGAGATTGCTTGAGCCCAGGAGTTGAAGACTAGCCTGGGCAACATAGCCAGGCTCTGTCTCAGAAATATTTTTTCTTACATTCTTAGTTCATTTCTTCCAGGTAACTTGTCAATTTTGTCAGTTCAGCTGCCAATATCTGTGATTTTCCATCCTAACATTTTTTGTTTGCCATCATGAACTCTGGAGGATGCAGCATTTTGGGAGAGCGCTTTTGTCCCATGTATCTGTGTGTGTGTGGTGGGGACTGAGCCGAGGGCCTGGTACCTGCTGAGCACATGTACCCCTGGGCTTTGCCCAGAGTCCCTCCATGGTATTTGGGGAAAGTCTTTGGAGCCTGACATCAGCATTGCACGGCTGATGTTCGCATCTGTGCCATGGCATGTGTCCTGCCTGGTGTTGTCCAGCTGCAGTTGTGAGACGTCTTGATGTCAGAGATACAGAGGAGAAGATCTGTGCATTAGAATCAAAGAAACAAAGCAGCATTGTGTGTGCCATCATTTCATCCGTCTGTGCTTAGAGAGACAGAATAGACATGCGGGTAATGGCCAGACCATGAAGAAACGTAGAACTCTGACCCATGGCCTGCGGTAGTTTGCCCAGGAAACCTCCCATCTGCAATAACCAACCCAGGAAGCCCACAGGAAGCTTGGCTAATAAGTTTAGAAGCTAAATAACTTAAGCAAGAATTAGCCCCAAATGACTATGACTTGATTAGTAACCGACAGCTTCCCTAACCTTTATCCCCTCTCTCAGTTTAGGAACAACTAGAAAAAGGCAAACCTGCCCCTTACCCATCTCCCTGGGTGCCCTCTTCTAGAAGGCTGCTACAGCCCCCATCCCGCCCCCAGCAGCCCCCAGGCAGGCACACCTGCAGCCTTTGCACTGTGATGCTCTCCCACTCCTCATGCTGCTTTGGGGTCTATACTAAATGCAAGTGACAGTGTCTGACCTTTGCGGTAAGGAGCTCTGAATAGGTAGCTTTGTTGTGCTTCATGTTGCTGGGATTTGATGATTGCCCCACCTTGAAAGGAGAGCCAGCATAGAACAGGTGCAGTTTGGACAGACACTTCTGGATGGCTGGTTGCCTGGGATGTGGGTCTGTGAGTTGGACAGGACAACCTTCCAGCTGATGTGAAAAAAAATAATAGAAATTATTTTGTATGCTTCCACATTTAACCTACTCTTTTCTTCTTTCCTGTCTCTTTTCTGTTCCTTTAAAATTCTAGAGGCCAAATCTGGCTCTTAAAAACATCTAAGGGAACCTGTATCAACTGCTACCGCAGAAGCCTGCTGCTCACCCTGAGGGAGGCAGAATGGGGCCCCCTGCAGGTGCCCTTCTGTCACTGCTGCTGCTCTTGACCTCTGCAGGTAGGAATCCACTTGACATCAGCGTCTGGCTTGAGTTACTCCTGCGTATCATAAGCAACTCAGGCCAGCCTGGAAAGAAGGAGCTGTGTGTTTGCTTCCAATAGAATTGTTTTTCCATGCAAAAGCAGACTTCATACACAACTGATTTTCTGGAACAGGAATTTAAAATTTTTATTATGAGACTTTTGTGGGAAAATAAAATCTTATCTCATATATCCCAGGAAAAAATTTCATTTGTATTTTAACAACTTACTAGTCCAATTATGTAAATACAGGATGACCAAAAATTG